TGTCATCATGGCAAAGAGAAAATTAATCAGTTATTAGAGATGAGTTAGTAATATAAATTTTAAAGCTTAAATTTACATTTTCATTTGAATTGTGTCACTATTATAGCGTGAACATTAATAACACGCTTTGTAAAAATTGTGTTTGCATTTTATTTTTCAGTTTGGCTTTTTATTTTAATATTGGCAGTCTTGACGCGGAAATGCAGTGAAAATGAAATGTTAAATAGGCAACTTCATTGTAATTATCAATTTGACAGGGACGATGTGTTGTCCAAGTGAAAATGAAAATGAAATAATTTCATTTTGTTTTCAATTTTGGCAGATATTTTGCGAACAGTGTTTTATAATGGAATTGTTAATCTGATTTTAATTTTCAATGTTTATTTGATTTATTTAAAACTGGCAGGATTTACCTTTCATACCAGTGTACATAAAGTGACAACACAAAATAAATATGAAAAAAAAAATTTGATAAACATTAAACAGAGATGCAGTTAGTGCAGAAATCTGGATGTTGAGTTGTATGTACAGGTTTGTTATAAATATACAGGTTATAAGGTGCTGTGTACACATGCGAATGGAGGAAGTATTGTATTGTATATTGATATACGGTGATATACAAGTGCGTATGAGAAAGTATTGCATATATTTATTGCTCAGTCGGGGGATATTTAAATGTTCATAAGGTAGATTTTAACAAATTGATTAGGAAAGCTGGCTCTGTGGTGGGTGAGGAATTGGACAATATGGAAACTGTGGCTGAAAGGAGAACATCGTGCAGACTTCGGTCAATTATGCACAATGTAGATCATCCTCTTCATAATGTGGTTGACGAGCTGAGAATTACCTTTAGTCACAGACTTACCAGCTTAAAGTGTTCCACTGAACGCCACAGAAAATCCTTCCTTCCCACTGCTATCAGACTTCATAACGTCTCCCTCAGTCACTTACCCTTACAGTAATGCTGGTGCCGTATATTTACTTATTACGGGTTTTAGTGTGTGGAAGTCTGTGCATTATGTTTTATGATGTGCAATAGTCTACTAGGTGCAATATTTGTACGTTTTTTTAGGTGTTAAATATTTTTAGTGCAATATCATTAGTTTTAAATGAGTGTTGAATCACTTTATTACTTGAAATATTTTATGTGCAATTGTTTTATGTGTAATATTATTGGTTTTGGTTAATATTATTTTCATTACTTGATATATGACCTAATAGTATTAGTTACCACTGATTCTTTTAAGTGTAATATCTTATATAATAGTTTGTATATTTATGTATTGTGGCTGTTTCCTTCTGTAGATTGGTTGGATTTATGTGACTTATTTCACTTATTTAATTTATTTATTCTGTCTTGTGTTTTTGTGTTTCTGTGTTTTGTGTGTTATGGCAGTCATTACGTAAGCAATTTCCTGCGGGATCAATAAAGTTTTCTAAGTCTAAGATGGCCAGAGGAGAGAAACTGTTCCTGTGTCTGGCTGTTTTTGTGCGTTTGTCACCAGACGGTAACAGTTAAAACAGGTAGTGTGCTGGGTGCGAGGCGTCCAGAGTGATTTTGCGAGCCCTTCCACTCACTCTGGAAGAGTACAGTTCTTGAAGTGTAGGAAGGGTAGTGCCAGTGATGCATTCAGCAGTCTGGACTATTCGCTGTTTTGGCCGCTGAGCCGAACCAGACGGTGATTGAAGTGCAGAGGATGGATCGGATGACAGCTGAGTAGAACTGCACGAGCAGCTCCAGTGGCAGGTTGAACTTCCTCAGCTGACGGAGGAAGAACAGTCTCTGCTGGGCTCTCTTCACCATAGTGTCTACGTGAGGGTCCCACTTCAGATCCTGAGAGATGGTTGTGCCCAGGAACCTGAATGACCCTACTGCAGTCACAGTGCTGTTCATGATGGTGAGCGAGGGGAGTGCGGGGGGGTTCCTCCTGAAGTCCACTATCATCTCCACTGTTTTGAGCGTGTTCAGCTCCAGGTTGTTGTATTTGCATTCACTCGTTATTTACTCAAGTTTGGAAAGGTTTGGAACCGTGTGAATTGTGTTTAAAGAGAAGATATTTTGACGAGGGGTGCCATGGAGGCGCAGTGGGTAGCACAATTGCCTAGTTCAGGGGTTTTCAAACTGGGGTCCGCGGCCCCCTGGGAGGCCGCCAGATGGCGCTAGGGGGGCTGCAAAGAAATTTTAGATCAATGAGCCCACATGGAGGAATTTTGTGTCCCGCATCATTCTGAAGGTTAATATATTTTTATTATAATTTGAGCTCAAAAGTACTGCAAAAATGAAGCATTATGCTTATGTCATTTAAATGCAGTTGACACTTTCGTGACACAGGGAAAGAAGCGCAGTGGCCCGCCTCCGTGGACGGGGACTTTTATTGAATAAGCGCTTCTGGCCAGGCGCTTCCTGACTGTGATTTTTGGCGCTTGTCTGCTGCACCTGACGGCGTTTACCTTTCACTTACGCTTACCTCTTTTACGCTAAACAACTAAATGAATGCTCAGGTTTGACTGACTTTATTTCAGTTAAAATACATGATCAATAAGAACATTATCGGTGGCTGAAAGCACTACCCTGTTTATGGCTTGCGTTCCTAAGTAACCGAGGTGCTGCGGAGCGCGCGCCTCTCTGCGCAGGCTTCACTCATAGGGAACAAATAGCATTTTAAAGACACGGCACAAAATTGCACCTCGTCCACAGCGCGACAGGCTTTTACACTTTGCATTGTACAAATATCAGACGGTCCTCTTTGCAGCATGGCAAACAAACATATTAAAATTGTAAAGCAAAAACTGCTGCAATAACAATGAATGGAGCTGTCATCACATCAGCGAGTTCTCAGAGTTTCACTGCTGCTACACTAATGACAGCTGGATGAGCTCTGCAGTGGACCTCTTACTCACATTGGTTCATAACTGGATGATTAAAAAAAACTAAATTATATACACACTTAGTAAAACCACTATAGCCTTTAAACATTATAATGTATCTGTTTGTGTTGTTATAGGGCTAATATTTATTAAATATTAAAATGTATTAGTGCTCTGTATTTAATGGAGCTCAACATACCTGATCAAATTTTAATACTCTGAATATAAATGCATTTTTGTTCCACTTTTTCCCATAATTGTTTGTGTAACTAATTTAAATGTAATGTTCAGTATTATTATTAATAGAACAAACTGGTATGAACATTTTAAAGTCAGCAAAGCTTCTAAAATTATGCAAAGTAAAACTTGTGGCTCTTTGAACTTGAATACCCAATTCTAGATTGCATTTAGGAAATTATTTTTATCAGTGTAAGTCAGGATTGTCGACCTGAGTAAATTATGATGTGCACAAAAAAAAGGAATACAAATAAACAAAACACACTGAACCACTACAGCCTCCATTGTAGTATTGCTGGTTACAACAGTACAGTTAACTGTTAACAGGCTGATGAATGACAAAACTCTTTAAAACTTTAAAGCTTTAAATCTTTAGATACATTTAGACTCTCAGCTGTAAGGGTAAATACAGAAGAGTCTAGCTGTGCATAGGCTGAAAAAAAGCATAAAAATGGCATAAAAACTGTGTAAAGTGACGACTTGTACACAAAATATGGCTTGATGGAATAATCCAGTGAGAGCAGACCACAATGAGTACTGCGCATCAAGATTTGATCAATAGATTGAAGCACTGAAACCATGTCAACTCAACTAACATCTTACAAAAATTAATCCAGATAATAAATAAAATAAATTTATTGAATAATATATAATAATATAAATGTATTGAATAATACAATAAAAAAATTAAGTACAGTTGTTAATTTGAGGGGGTGGCGTCATTTTTATTTTTGGGGGGTCCCCAAAAGAATTCGCCCTACACAAAGGGGCCCTCAGCTGAAAAAGTTTGAAAACCCCTGTCCTAGTTGACAGTATTTCAGACAGGAAGCGAAGTGGGAAAGAGAGTGGGGGAAGGGACAGGAAATTTCCTCGAGTCGGGATTCAAACTCGGACCATATGTCAGCGCGCTAACCACTAGGCTATAGCGCCGACCAATTATAACAGTTTAAATATCGCAGTGGGTAGCACAATCGCCTCACAGCAAGTAGGTTGTTGGTTCGAGCCTCAGTTGGCATTTCTGTGTGGAGTTTGCATGTTCTCCCTGTGTTGGTGTGGGTTTCCTCCGGGTGCTCTGGTTTCCCCCACAGTCCAAACACATGCGCTATAGGGGAATTGATGAACTTAATTGCCCATAGTGAATGAGTGTGTGTTTCCCAGTACTGGGTTGCAGCTGGAAGTACATCCGCTGTGTAAAACATATATGCTGTTTAAGTTGGCGGTTCATTTGTCGGCGGCAGTAGCCTAGTGGTACTACGCGCTGACATATAGCACCAACGTGCCCTCGGCGACCCGAGTTCGATCCCCGATTTGAGGTCCTTTGCCAATCCTTCCCCTCTCTCTGCTCCCAATGCTTTCCTGTCTGAATTCTCTACTTTCCTGTCATAATAAAGGTAAAAAAAAAATAAAAAATTTAAAAAGTTGGCGGTTCATTCCGCTGTGTCGACCCCTGATTAATAAAGGAAAATGGATGAATGATATTTTGAAGAAAGCTGACAAGCGTTGACTTCCATAATATTTGTTTTTCCTGCTATGGAAGTCAATGGTTACCGGTTTTCAACATTTTTCAAAATATCTTCTTTTGCGTTCAACAGAAGAAACTCATTTATATTTGTAACAAGTGAAGGGTGAGTACATGACGTCTGTCTGCATCTCTGCCTCTGTTAAACTCCTGAGAAGCTGTGTTGAGTGTGCAGGTACAGTTGAACACCTGTGTTCTCAGCTCAGGTGAGTGTGTGTGTCTCGTTCTGCTGTGTGTTCTGATGGGCAGGATAAACTCTGTTTCCCATGAGGCCGCGGGGCAGCAGCGCAAAGCCCTAAAGAGGTTTAAGTTCAGAGGATCAAACGACAGCTGGAGAGACGCACATCAGAGAGGAAGAACACACACACACACACAC